CCTGTGGGTTGGGGTAGCTGGCGGCGCGGCGAGGGGGGCGATGGGAGCGACCCCGGGATGGAGGTGGGTGCGCGAACGGCTCGCGGCAGGCGCCTGTACGGAGCCTGACACGACGCGGCGCGCGGCAGCGGCTCCCACGCACCCGATGAGCTCCGGCATGCGCCAGTTTCAGAGCCTCGTCTTTTGATGCGTGCACGCGCCCCTTGTCGTCCCCTCGCCCCCCCCCCCCAAAAGGCCGGAGTTTGTTGAGGTGCTGGCCGCCCTGGTGGCCATGATGGGCCTGATGGACCAGGAGCAGCCCTCTGGGGCCGCAGTGGAGTACGCCGGCGCCGGCCCCTCGGCGCCCGGCAGCGGGGCCGGCGCCGGCAGCAGCGGCGCCGGCGGCGCGAGGAGGGGTGCTCGCCTGGCCGGCAGCAGTGTGGGCCGTATAGCCAGCGAGGTCATGGGCTGGTTTGACATGAGGCGCTAGGGGGCAGCGCGGCGGCCTGTTGGGGGGCGTAGGCACGGCCCGCCCCTCCGGATCCGCCAGCACGCCGGTCACCAAGGAGGCGCGGCTTGAAGCCACACTATGCAAGGGCGGCGGCGCGCGTGCTGCACAAGGACTTTGCGCACTTAGATCTGTTGGGGAGCGACATGCCTGAGTGTGGCGCCTAAACGCCTGCCCCGCTGGTTCGTGTGACGGCGCGCGTGCGTGTGCCTGCCTTTGGTTCTGATACATGAACATCTGACACCGGGCTGAAGGGAGCGGCAATGCCAGTCACAGAGCGACATATTCTAGCTTTCCCACCGCCTGTGCCTGAGGGCTGCATTGTTCTTGGGTGCCGCGCCGACTTTGAATCCTTAAACTGCTTGCGGCACATGTGGCTGGTCCACGGATGCGCGTCAATAACTTGTCCCTTGCTCCAGCGCACCTGACGCTTCGGCGGCACCTCCCTGCCTGGCAGGCGTGGGAACCTTGGGTTTGCCGCTTTCCAGGGGCACCTGGCACGCAAGCACTGCGCGCCTGGCCATCGATCTATCCCCTGTCCCGCATTGATGGACCACTTGAAAGGCTGAACTGCAGGCACCCCGGCGGCGCTACGTCGAGGTGCACCTCAACCCTGCAGCACCGCGGCTGCTTGTCGGCCGTTGTCGGTGCCAGGGTGGAGGTATTTTCGTTTCCACCACGGCTGACACGCTGCCGGGCCTTTGGGCCTGCGCAACGCTCCCTCCCTGCGGCACGCGCCAACAAGCGGCCGCTGTTTGTTGCAGAAAGCCGCCTGTGCGCTGCTTCTGTCGGTGTTGACTAGGCCGCAATCGATTTGACCAGGCGCATCCACACCTGTCACCGCCAACAAACACGCGCGGCGCACCCACACCGCCGGTCGCCCCCTACTCCCCCCCCTAC